ACAGCTTTATTACCAGCACGCCGGACTGCCAGAACTTAAAACAGTTTCCTGGTCCCAGCCTTTGTGTTCTCAGATGCAGATGAATCCTGCGGGCTCAGACCAGTGATCTGTCTAGTCCCGTCTCACACAGTGAACACATGGAGCTGCCCTATCCTGAACCAGACCTTCAGTCCATCAGAGTCAGTACTGTCTACTCGGACTGGCAGCAGCTCCCCAGGGTCTCAGCCAGAGGTCTTTCACATCACCAACTGCCAGTGTTCCCTTTTAACTGGAGATGCCGGGGACCGAACCTGGGACCTTCTGCATGCCGAGCAGATGCGCTGCCACTGAGCCACAGAGCCAGTTTGGTGTAGTGGTCAAGTGTGTAGACTCTAATCAGGGAGAACCGTGTTTGATTCCCCACTCCTCCACTTGTACCTGGCTGGATGATAAGGAAGTACTTCTTCACCCAAAGAGTGATTCACACATGGAATTCACTGCCACAGGAGGTGGTTGTGGCTACAAGCATCGACAGCTTCAAAAGGGAATTAGATAAGCATATGGAGCAGAGGTCCATCAGTGGCTATTAGCCACAAGGTCTAGATAGGGGCTCTGGGGCAAGTGATGCTCTGTCTTCTTGGTGCTTGGAGGGGGTCAACAGTGGGAGGGCTTCTAATGTCCTGGCCCCAATGGTGGACCTCCTGATGGCACCTGGTATTTCTGGCCACTGTGTGACACAGAGTGTTGGACTGGATGCCCCACTCCTCCACTTGCACCTGCTGATGTGACCTTGGGTCAGTCACAAGCTCTGGCACAACTGTTCCTGAAAGAGCAGTTCGTGTCAGAGTTCTCTCAGCCCCACCCACCTCACAGGGTGTCTGTTGTGGGGAGGGGAAGGGAAAGGAGTTTGTAAGCCACTCTGAGACTCCAAGGTGAAGGGCGGGGTATAAATCCAATCTCTTCTTCTTCTTCTTCTTCTTCTTCTTCTTCTTCTTCTTCTTCTTCTTCTTCTTCTTCTCCCAGTGGCCCAGCCAGTTCCTCTGAAGATCCAACACAGGGGCTGAGGCCTTCCTCTGATGTTGTCTGCCTGCATTCGGATTCAGAGATTTGCTGCCTCTGGGTGTGGAAGTTCCCTGTAGATGCTGTCCAGGAGTGGAACCACCTTCATTGCTGGAGTCCACCACTGACCTCACCTGGAAACCAGAGGATGGTTTCCCAGAAGCCCACTGTGACACAGCCACAGAGAAGCCCGACACGATGGCGGCAACCGGGAGGATCACTGCAACAGTGGCAATGAGGTGGAGAGCCAGTTCGGTGCGGTGGTGAAGTGCGCGGACTCTAACCTGGGGGAGCCCAGTTTGATTCCCCACTATCCCACTTGCAGCTGCTGGGTGACCTCAGGCAAGCCATAGTTCTGTCAGAGCTGTTCTCTCAAGGACAGCTCTGGGAAGAGTTCTCTCAGCCCCACTTGCCTCACAGGGTGTCTGCTTTGGGGAAAGGAAGGGAAAGGAGATTGTAAGCGGCTCTGAGACTCCAAATGAAGGGCGGGGTAGAAATCCAATCTCCTCCTTCTCCTTCTCCTCCTCCTCCTTCTCCTCCTCCTTCTTCTTCATCTTTTAGGGCCCTGAAGCAAGGAAGGACTGCCAGCAGCTGATGGTGGTTTTGCCTGGCCAGGGCGATGGGAGGGGGAAACTGGCTGTGAATGCAGCCGAGGACTCCCCTGAAATCTCACAGGGCTGCTGGTGCTTGCAAAAGTTGGGGGGAGCTGCCTGGGCATGCGTGGTCTGCCATGCTGGCCTCATAAGGGGCATAGAAGCAGGCCAGTGAGGAGGGAGCTGGGCTCCCTCTCCGGACTGCAGAGGAGAGACCCAACGGGGAAGGAGGAGGGGCCTGGGACTGCAAACCCCTCCCCTTGACAGTTCTGAGGTTCTGCGAGGCTTCTAGCTTCCGGCTTACACATTTCAGGGCAGGAAGGAGTGTGTTGGATGGGGGAGTTTCCAGGAGCTGGGGCCCTGGACCCCACAGTCACCAAGTGGGCTTGCCAATTGCCTGCGACGGATGGGCAAGCTCCCACCAATGCTCCCCAATTCCTACCACTCTTCAACTGAGTGGCAGGGGGAAAGGACATTGTTGACGTGCAATGTTAATTCTTGATGGAACTCAAGTGACATAGTGGGTGCTCTAGGAACCTTCCCAGCCTCTATGGTTTTTAACCACAGAGATCGGGCAAAACCCTAGAGCGTAGATTACCTCGCTTCCGGGTTCCAGCTGGAAGTGATCACGGATCGTGGACATTCTTTCCCCTATGCCCCACCCCTCCATAGTGTCCTCGGTGTTCTAGGCATGCCCCTGGCAACCCCGTCGCAATGGCTAGTGGCCATCGATGGAATTGTCCTCCATGGACCCGCCTGATCCACTTGAGGAAGTCTAAGACCTTCTCCTGGAGCCCTGCATGCTCTGAATGAAGGGAGATTTGTGGACACACAAGAGAGACTCCTTTAGCAATAAAAGAATAATACCAGAAAACGGGGTAATAAGATGACAATAAAGCAGCCGATTTCAGATTGGAGAATCCATAGCAGTAAAATTGACCAAAGCCTGGATAGAAATATTTCTTGTGGTCTGACCTGCCATTGAAAAAAAAGGGGGGAGCGACGGGACTGAAAGCATCACCAACCAAAGGGGGAGAGGAAAGATTTTCACTTGGGGTCTAAATCCAATTAGCTGGTGGTTTGGGGGCTGGAATCCCAGGGCTGAGTCATTACCATTGAGAAGGCCTCATCTCTGGTCCTTTGTCTATGATCAGAGGCAGAGAGGGACCTACATTGCCAGGTGGGTTTGTACTGGAGCTTTCGGTGGCCCCATTCCTGACTCCCAAGAAAACTGTCAGTACTTTTACTTGACCTGGAAATAGATGGGCAGCCAACGCAGAGGTCTTTTAGGGTTCTGGGGGCAGGGAGATTCCCAATAATTAATGCTCGTCAGGAACATTTGTTGTTATCTGCCACAGGAGGTGGTGGCAGCTACAAGCATGGACAGCTTCAAGAGGGAATTAGATAAGCACATGGAGCAGAGATCCATCAGCGGCTATTAGCCACAAGGTATAGACAGGAACTCTCAGGCTGGGGCAAGTGATACTCTGTATTCTTGGTGCTTGGGGGGGCAAAAGTGGGAGGGCTTCTAGTGTCCTGGCCCCACTGCTGGACCTCCTGATGGCACCTGGTATTTCTGGCCACTGTGTGACACAAGAGTGTTGGACTGGATGGGCCACTGGCCTGATCCAGCATTGGCGTCTCTTGTGTTCTTATGTTCTCTTATCTGCCAACTATATAACAGATGGATGCTGGACAATTGAAGGACCACTCCTCATAGGAAACTGGTTTAAAGAGTGTCTTGGAGGCAGCTGGGACTGACCCCCTGGACTGCTTTTAGTGCCGTTCTAAGAGGGGAGGGGAAATTCTAATAAATGGCTGAATACACAGAAGGACATAAGACCAGTCCAGCGGCCCATCTAGATCAACACCCTGTTTCACCAGATGCCCCCAGAAGGCCTGCAAAGAGGGCACAGGGGCTTAACCCATCCCCTGTTTTTGCCTCCAGAGACTCGCATTCAAAGGTATACTGCCACTGAAAATGGAGGTTCCGTTTAGTTGTCATGGCTAACAGCCATCAATGAGTCTATCCTGTCTGGATTCATTGAATCCCCTTTTAAAGCCTACTAAACTGTTCCCTGGAAGGCCAGATAATGAAACTGAAGCTCAAATACTTTGGCCACCAAATGAGAAGGGAGCACTCCCTGGAGAAGACCCTGATGCTGGGAAAGATTGAAGGTCAAAGAAGACGGGGACAGCAAAGGATGAGATGGTTAGACAGTGTCACAAATGCAACGAACATGAAATTGAGCAAACTTCAGAGGATGGCGGAAGACAGGAAGGCCTGGCGTGATCTGGTCCATGGGGTTGCGAAGAGTTGGACTCGACTGTGCGACTGAACAACAACAACAAAACTGGAAGGGGCTGTGGCTCAGTGGTAGAGCATCTGCTTGGAATGTCGAAGGTCCCAGGTTCAATCCCTGGCACTTGCAGTTAAAGGATCGGGTAGGAGGTGATGTGAGAGAGCTCTGCCCGAGACCCTGGAGAGCCGCTGCCAGTCTGAGTAGACAATACTGACTTTGATCGATGAAGGGTTTGATTCAGCAGTATAAGGCAGTTTCACATGATTTCATGTGAATTACAAGCCCCTCTTAATCACAAGATTACAAAGCCCTCTTATTTATATCTTGGAACAGTTATGTCAATCATTGTGATTGTCCCTCTTTACACAGATATCTTGGGGGGAGGGTTGTAGCTCCTAGATCAGGCAATTCACACCCTCGGGATTTCTGACTTCCTCCTCCTCCCTCCTAACCAGTTTGGCGTAGTGGTTAGGAGTGTAGATTCTAATCTGGGAGAACCCAGTTTGATTCCCCACTCCTCCACATGCAGCTGCTGGTGTGACCTTGGGTCAGTTACAAGTTCTTTCAGAGCTGTTCTCTCAAGGGCAGTCCTCAAAAGAGCTCTCTCGGCCCCACCTACCTCACAGGGTGTCTGTTGTGGGGCAGGGAAGGGAAAGGAGATTGTAAGCCGCTCTGAGACGCCGTTGGGTAGTGAAGGGCAGGGTATGAATCCAATCTCCTCCTCATTTAAAAAAATCCCATTTTGTAGGCATCAGGAGGCAGGCCCATCTCTTCTACTGTTACTGCTATTAGTTGCTGATAATAGGTGATATTTTCATCCCTTTGTGCTCTGGGCATACCGCTGCCTGATTTGACTTTGGTGTCATTTCATCAGTTTTAATTGTTCATTATATAGTTAATGTATTTCAGGGGTCATTTCATAGAAAAAGAACTAGGGGAACTCATTAGCATAACTCATTAGCATATGCCACACCCCCTGACATCACCGGAAGTGTGTCATAAGGCCACACCCCCCGCCCCCAACGGTCCCGGCCGCCAGTCCCGGCCTTGCAGCTCCACTGCTGAGCCCCATGAGGGGCCCGGCGGTGGACCTGCAAGGCCGGCGGGAGTGCAAGGAAGCCCCGCGAAGGCCCTCCCTTGCTCCAGGCAGGCAGGGGTGGGGAGAGGTAGGGAGGAAGCAACTTACCCTGCCTCTTCTCCTGCCTCCTCCTGGCTGAATGAGGGCTGGAAGCGGGGCAGCCGGAAGCAGGGGGCGGGGCTTCGTCATGTGCCCCGCCCCCTGTACCTCGTGTGTGTGTGTGTGTGTGTGTGTGTGAGAGAGAGAGAGAGAGAGAGAGAGAGAGAGAGAGAGAGAGAGAGAGAGCGCAACGAGGATCATTTTCTCTCCACTGAAACCAAAAAGCCAGACTTTGCCGCCCAAATGCTCACAGTAGCGTATCTAGAATTTGTTTCATGCAAACAATGTCTAATATTTACTTTGCATTTCCCCCGTGCTTCTTCAAACACTCTCGCATTATCTTTTTCTCCTTTTCCACAATATATTCAGAGAAGGAACCAAAGTTAACAACTGAACAAAATGTCAGAGGCAATATTGAAGATCTTCTGGGGGGTTTTTTGGTGCCGATGGAATGTGGGGAGGTGGTAGAGGACGCAGCTGCTCTGAAAACCACCTCAAACCAAACAAAATCAAGCAGCACCTCTTGGCTGGGTCCACCTTATTGCAGGTGGCATCAGAGGCGTGACTGCCCTCGACTCCAAACTGATATTGCTCAGTCGTGTGACTTGTGGAACGCCCTGCCAATGGATGGCTCTTGTCCCAGTCTGGAAGCTTGACCCATTCAAACAAGGTTCTCTCCAAGTGGGGCTGCCTTTCATTCTGCTCCAGAAACTGCATTCTGCACAAGCACCGGTACTGATGTCGCTGCCTGTGCGGGCCCACATCCGCCCCGTGCTGCGCGAACTGCACTGGCTTCCTATAGAAGAAGAGGAGGAGGAGGAAGAGGAGGAGGAGGAAATTGGATTTATACCCCACCCTTCACTCGGAATCTCAGAGCAGCTTACAAACTCCTTTCCCTCCCCCTCCCCACAACAGACACCCTGTGAGGTAGGCGGGGATGAGAGAGCTCTGACAGAAACTGCTCTTTTTCAAGGACAGCTCTTATCAGAACTACGGCTTGCCCAAGGTCATCCAGCCAGATACGAGTGGAGGAGTGGGGAATCAAACCCGGTTCTCCCAGATTAGAGTCCGCGCACTTAACCACTACACCAAACTGGCCGGATTGAGTACCAGATTGAGTACTGGATCCATTTCAAGGTGTTGGTGCTTACCTTTAAAGCCCTATACAGCCAGGGGCCTGCACATCTGTGAGACCAACTATGAGCCCTGAAAGGCTTTATGATCTGCCAATCAACATCTTCTCATGGTCCCCGGCCCCAGGAATATCCGCCTTGTCTCAACTAGGGCCAGGGCCTTTTCAGCCCTAGCCCCTACCTGGTGGAATGAGCTCCCATACGAGATCAGGGACCTGTGGGACCTTTCACAGTTCCACAGGGACTGCAAGACGGAGCTCCTCCACCAGGCTTTTAACTAGAGCAACGGAGATCCCTCCCTCTTTACTGGGCCTCCCCTCGACAGGTCAGAACTGCATACCAGAGTTGGCATTTGTGACATTTTAATGTCAATGACAACGGCACCAGATGAAGGCCATTGTGGTATTTTACAAGTATGTTGTCGAAGGCTTTCACTGCCGGAGTTCATTAGTTGTTGTAGATTTTCCAGGCTGTATGGCTGTGGTCTTGGCATTGTAGGACCTGATGTTTTGCCAGCAGCTGTGACTGGCATCCTCAGAGGTATAACACAGAAAGATGGAGTACTCTCTGTGTCAAGGTGAGAAGAAAAATGGTAGGCAGGTAATTTATATATACTCAGAAAGGTGGTGTAGGGCTGAATCAGTATCTTGCAGGAGTTCCCCAGGCTATGCCATGCAAATGGAGGACCTTTTCTGAGGAGGTTCTTTTGCATATGGATTGGCTGTTGAAATTCTAATCTTATCTGCAATGCTGTTGTAAAATGTACAGCATTTTGTGTTTTTTCAGGACAGGAAACCATGCCCTATTTATTTTTAAACTCTCTTCTTTCCTGTTGCAATTGTGTTTATGTTTATGCATTTCAATGGCTTCCCTGTGTAATCTGACATGGTCATTGGATGTGTTGTCCAGCCTTTCAGTGTTTTGGAATAAGATACTGTGTCTTGTTTGAGTTAGGCTAAAATACTGTGTCCTGTTTGAGTTAGATGGATGGACCGGCAGACAGACGGATGGATGGATGGACAAATGCATAGGTGGATAGAACGATAAATGGTAGATGGATGGATAGATAAAGGATGGATGGATGGCCACCATGAAGACATGAGCCACCACCTGCAGACTCAGGTTTTGTGGCTCCCACAAGCTGCCCGCTTGCCATTTTAGAGAAAGTTCAATAAAGCAGTTGTGAGCTGGAAAGGTGAAACCAAAAAGTAAAGCCACCAGGAACCAATAAGTAAACAGATCCAATTTTCAAGAAAGGTCACCCCTCTTCGAAATTGTGTGAGACCCATCTCTGTGCATGCACAGGCATTGAAAACGAAAAGCAAACCTGACAGCCTACGGGTGATGGTTTGGGTTGCCGTAACAACCTCAAAGGAATCAAGGTCCTAAGTTGCAGTGTGGGCACCGGAGGTTGTTGCCAGGGAAAACAGAGGGAGAAGGCAGGGATGGTAAATCAGAGGAGGACGAAGAAGTAAAAGGGGAAGTGGGATTTCCAGTCTTCTGAGACTCATCATGAGTCTCCTAGTTGTGTTATCCCTAAGAGCCATGGGCAAAGCCAGGGCTTTTTTTTGTAGAAAAAGCCCAGCAGGAACTCATTAGCATAATAGGCCACACCCAACAGCAGAAATTCATTTGCTTATTAGGACACACCCCTTACAGCACAGCACATTAGGCCACACACCCCATGTTCGCAGAAGTATGGTCATCCAGACACACTCACCTTTTGCTTCTTATTCTGTTTACCTTGTTTGTTGTCAAAACCCACGGCTTTTTTTTGTAGCAGGAACTCCTTTGCATGTTAGGCCACACACCCCTAATGTAGCCAGTCCTAATGAGTTTCTGCTGTTGGGTGTGGCCTATTATGCTAATGAGTTCCTGCTGGGTGTGGCCAACTCGGGGGCCAGCCGGAACTCCGTTCCTGTGCGTTCCTGCCCAAAAATAGCCCTGGGCAAAGCCATGCAATGTCTCCTGCCACATTCACGATTTAGGATTCTGCAAACGTAGAGCTCTTCCTCCTGCGTCCCTCCCATTAACTCTGGCTTCCCGCTCTCTGCTCCCTAGATGGCCCCTGCATTCCCTCTCCCCACAACCTTTGGTTCTGCTTCCTTCCTTCCCCTCCACTCTCCCTAGGTGCCTTTTTCTCCTTCCATTGTCTCGTGATTCTTTTCTCCCCATCATAGCCCCCTGCATCCTCTCTTCCTTTCAGGCCTGTAACCACAGTGGGGCCTCCCGGCGCCCGCCCCCCCCACACACACATTTTATGGGAGAAGCTGGGGGAGGCCATGCGCGCCTGCACTCCAAGCCACGAATTTGTGGCTTGGAGTGCAGGCGCATGTGTGGCCTCCCCCTGCTTCTCCCTTTAAATGCTGGGGGGGAGTGGGGCAGCGTGTGGGGGCCGCATGTGCATTTCAGTGCCCCCTAACTTTTAAAAAGGCCCTCCAAACTAAAAAAAAAATCCTGGATACGGGCCTGCTTCCTTCCCTTCTCTAATTCCTGGCTCCTGATTCTGCCTCCCCTCACCTCCAAAGGGGACTAAAAAAACCTAAGAATTGTTTAAAAGCACTGTATTCTCACAAAGTCTGAGTCCAGTGGCACCTTTAAGACCAACAAAGTTTTACTCTGGGTATAAGCATTCATGTTCAGTTTTGGACAGCACAATTTAAGAAGGCTATAGACAAGCTGGAACATGTCCAGAGGAGGGACACGAAGATGGTGAGGGGTCTGGAGGCGAAGT